CCCCACCACTGCCTCCACCAACTTCGCCTAAACCTGCTATTATTCATCCTAAAAAAAAGTTAACAGTTACAGCTCCAGTGACTCTAACTATGACAGCTACGTCTCTAGTCGACGCTGTTACTACTGTAGAGACTCCAGATGTTCCAAGGAGCAATGGGTTACCTGTAACAAAAATATGTACCACTGCACCTCCTCCTGTTCCTCCTAAGCCATCTTCAATTCCATCTAGGCTTGTATTTACACATAGACCTGAGCCAAGCAAACCTCCCATTGCCCCTAAACCATCAGTTCCTCAGCTTCCAATAACTACACAAAAACCAACAGATACACACCCCAAACTAACAGGTATATCTTCACCTTCAAATATGACATTAAATTTAGTCACTACAGCGGATTATAGATTGCCTTCTCCTACCTCCCCACTTTCCCCTCACTCTAACAAATCCTCCCCAAGACTTTCCAAATCCCTCATGGAAACGTATGTGGTTATCACGTTGCCATCTGAACCCGGGACTCCAACAGATTCTTCAGCTAGTCAGGCAATTACCAGTTGGCCCCTCGGATCACCCCTCAAAGATATGATTGCCACCGAACCAGTATTTTCTGTAGTTCCTCCTATGGCAGCTACAGAAATTTCATATTCATCAGAACAGAGCCTGTACATCCCAGGAGCTTTGCAGACATTTTCTGCTATCCCTGTCACAACACTGTCTTCATGTCAAGCAGCCCCAAGTTCATTTACAGAGTTTCTCACAACTGAAGTTTCTAAGGCTGAGGTTTCAGCAGCCAGAAGTACAGTCTCTGGTGTTGGTCTCGGCAGCGTCTCTATAACAATTCCTCCGGAGCCTCTTGCTTTAGATAACCTGCATTTAGAAAAGCATCAGCATAAAGAAAGTGGAAAGTTGCAACTTATTGGTGATGCCATTGATTTGCGTACAGTACCAAAAGCAGGAGTTAAAGTAACTGAAAAATGTATGGATCTTTCTGCTTCTGCAGTGGATGTGAAAAGGCAGACCACAGCAAAAGAAGCTTATGGGAGACAAATCAGTGCTGTCCAACCCTCTATTATAAATCTCAGTGCAGCTTCCTCAGCAGCGACTCCAATATCCCTGGTCGCCGAGACAGTGGCTGCCGTCGCATGCACAGCTGGTTACACCGCAGGCACAGAAAGCCTGGTGGGTGTAGAACACGCAGCACCACCACCACTTCAGCTTACTACATCGAAGCATGCTGAGCCCCCATACAGGATGCCAAGTGGCCAGCCCTTTCCTACAGTTAGGCAGGAAGCACCAATAAACTTGTCTTTAAGTACTTCAGCACACCCAGCGACACTGGCTACTGCAAAGCCTGTTACTGTGCCTCCTGTTGGTGTCACAAATGGATGGACGGATGGCACCACACCCCAGGGAATCACTGATGGTGAAGCGGTGGATCTCAGCACCACAAAGTCTCACAGGACTGTTGTAACAATGGATGAGTCCACTTCAGGTGTGGTGACCAAAATAATAGAAGATGATGAAAAACCTGTTGATCTGACCGCAGGGAGAAGAGCTGTGTGCTGTGATGTGGTTTATAAGTTACCTTTCGGAAGGAGCTGCACAGCACAGCAGCCTGCAGCTACTCTCCCTGAGGATCGTTTTGGCTATAGGGACGACCACTATCAGTATGATCGATCAGGGCAGTATGGCTACAGAGGGATTGGGGGAATGAAGCCTTCCATGTCTGACACTAATTTAGCAGAAGCTGGACATTTTTTCTATAAAAGTAAGAATGCTTTTGATTATTCAGGAGAAACTGATGCAGCAGTAGATCTAACTTCAGGGAGAAGTTCCGCAGGTCAGTATGATGTGGCAGCAGACCTTTCCTTGAAATATCATTATGGTGTTCCTCCTCATCTCATTTCAGGATGAAAATGTGGTCCCTTTTTCCATTTTGTTACTTTTTCTCTTCCTTTGGATATTTTGGCAACATATTTGGAGTACATGTGCGCTTCTGTTTCTTCATTTTTTTTTAATTTGTTCTGCCCAGAGTCACCTGCATGTGCCTGCATGTTCAGCATTGCTTTTATTCGGCATCTAATTAGGTTAACCAGTGAATTTGCATGCAGTCCCATTCATTATGTTCATCAAGATTGAGAGCTCTTTCAAACCCAAAACGCATCATTCATTCTGGGAACTGGACTATAACTATACCCTGTATTTCAGGTGAGGTAATGGATTATTCAAGCAAGACTGCAGGCCCATATCCAGAAACACGACAAGTCATTTCAGGAGCTGGCATTAGTACCCCGCAGTATTCCACAGCAAGAATGACTCCACCTCCAGCCCAGTATGGTGTGGGGAGTGTTTTGAGGTCAACTAACGGGGTTGTCTATTCTTCAGTGGCAACTCCAGTTCCCTCCACATTTGCTATCACCACACAACCCGGCTCCATTTTCAGCACCACCATGAGGGATCTGTCTGGTGTGCATACAACTGATGCAGTGACTTCATTATCCACCTTGCACCAGAGCCAGCCGATGCCTAGATCATATTTCTTAACAACAGGTGCATCTGAAACAGACATTGTAGTAACTGGTATTGATATCAATGCCAGTCCTCAAACTATTACTATGGAAACTCTTACTGCTGAGACAATAGACTCGGTTCCCACTTTAACCACAGCATCTGAAGTGTTTTCTGAAGTGGTGGGAGATGAAAGTGCTATTTTAATTGTCCCCGAAGAAGATAAACAACAACAGCAGCTAGACTTGGAGCGTGAGCTCTTGGAGCTGGAGAAAATTAAGCAACAGCGTTTTGCTGAGGAATTGGAGTGGGAACGTCAGGAAATTCAAAGGTTCCGAGAACAAGAAAAGATCATGGTTCAAAAAAAGCTCGAGGAACTGCAGTCTATGAAACAGCACCTTCTCTATCAGCAAGAAGAAGAGCGTCAAGCCCAGTTCATGATGAGGCAGGAGACATTAGCTCAGCAGCAGTTACAGCTGGAGCAGATCCAGCAGCTGCAGCAAAAGCTTCACCAGCAGCTAGAGGAGCAGAAGATTCGCCAGATCTACCAGTATAACTACGACCCCTCTGGAACTGCTTCTCCACAAACCACCACGGAGCAAGCGATGTTGGAAGGTCAGTACGCCGCTCCAGAAGGCGGTCAGTTTTGGGCGGCTGAAGATGCCACCACCACCGCCTCGGCCGTTGTGGCAATTGAAATTCCACAAAGCCAAGGGTGGTACACGGTCCAGTCCGACGGCGTCACTCAGTACATCGCCCCACCTGGCATCCTGAGTACAGTTTCAGAAATACCTTTAACGGATGTTGTTGTGAAAGATGAAAAACAACCCAAAAAGAGAAGCTCTGGAGCTAAAGCCCGCGGACAGTACGATGAGACAGGGGAACATCTGGCAGAGGATCCCCGCTGTTTTAAAAAGATAGTAGACAGTGGAGTGCAGACTGATGAGGAAGATGCTGCAGATCGGAGTTATGTGAGTAGGAGAAGGAAAACTAAGAAGAGTGTTGATACCAGTGTCCAAACTGATGACGAAGATCAGGATGACTGGGACGTGCCTACTCGGTCGAGGAGAAAAACTCGCGTAGCAAAATATGGTGACAGCACTGCAGAGGCTGAGAAGACCAGACCCCTTTCCAAAGTCTCCAGCGTAGGCGTCCAGACAGTGGCAGAGATGTCTGTGCAAACTGAACCCGTCGGAACCATACGGACACCTTCGATACGGGCGCGCGTGGATGCCAAGGTAGAAATAACTAAACACATTTCAGCACCCGAAAAGACTTACAAAGGGGGCAGTTTAGGATGCCAGACAGAAGCAGAGTCAGACACACAGAGTCCTCAATATCTGAGTGCCACATCTCCACCCAAAGACAAGAAACGCCCAACACCTTTAGAGATCGGTTACTCATCTCACCTTCGGGCAGATTCCACCCTGCAGCTGGCTCCTTCCCCACCCAAATCTCCAAAAGTCCTTTATTCACCCATCTCACCACTTTCACCAGGCAAAGCCTTAGAATCAGCCTTTGTACCTTATGAAAAACCCCTCCCTGATGACATAAGTCCACAGAAAGTACTGCATCCAGATATGGCTAAAGTTCCCCCAGCGAGTCCTAAGACAGCCAAGATGATGCAGCGGTCCATGTCTGACCCCAAGCCTCTGAGTCCAACAGCAGACGAAAATTCCAGGGCTCCTTTTCAGTATACCGAGGGCTACACGGTAAGAGTGATTCTTTTCAGTTAGAAGACAGTGGATGAGTTGATGTTAACCATGTGTTTGCAGACTTTAGGAAGCAGTAACGCTCCTGGTACCTCAGGAACCCAATACCAAATGTCAGTGAGTATCATTCCATTAGTAATTTGGGGAAGAAATAGAAATGTATACATTCCCACAAAAAGAAAACATGTTCTTTTTTGTGAGGCAAGATGAGAAAGGAGTTTGTTGTTTTATGACTTAATGAGACTGAAAGTTTTGTTCTCATCTTGAAATCTCCCGTGTTTGTTGTAGACTGAGATTTCAGTGAGTGTAATTAATACTCACATTCAACGATCGTATAAACATTGGATATAAACAAATAAGGCAAAGGATGGCCATAAATTTAGACCCATGGATACTGGAATTCTTAGTGGGAAGGTCTTTGTAGATTATCTAGTCAGTTTCTTCTTCCTCCAGCCAGAAGGTTTTCATAAAAGGGCTTAGGGCATTTACTTCTCAAAAGAGAAGATTTCTAGGGCAGGTAGGTGAAAGCATAATACGATCTTCATAGTTCATCCATTCTTATTTTGTTTCTGGTGACTGTCTTAATCTATTCTTAAGTAAGCCTTAGTCCTGGTGATTATAGAAGCAAAAATAATTTGTATGTTTCTTTGAATAATAGAGATTAAAAATTATTAATTTGAAAATATATAGGTATGCTTTAAAGGGAAAAGTACATATATAGATATTTGGGACGCAGTTGTGAAGATCGCTATAGCTGAAAAGAAGAAATGTTAATAATCAGCAATAAAAGCGGACATGTCCTACTTAAAATCCAATATATAATTCTTTAGAAAGTTATTGATAAATATGATGGTTGAATTTAAAAGTTTCCCTTCATGAACTGGTTTTTGAATTCTAGATCTTTAAACCCCAAAGATTCTAGATGGGCTTTTCTAGATATTGCTATTTATCTCCACTGACCCATATACATGGTGGAACAAAAGTAGGTTTATAGTTGTGAGTGTGCAAAACAGTTTATTCTAGTATTATTATTTATTAATTATTATTTTCCATACGAACAGCTGTAAACCTATTTTTGCCATACCCTGTATGTTAAACATTGGCTGTCGAATGAAAAATATGCCATTATATATGACTGTAAGTCTGTTTATATGTATATAGACATATCCATAGCCACATTAATAAATTACAAATTCATGTTTAAGTTTTCTAGTTTTATAGTGGCATTTTGATATTATGGACTTTCTTAAACAGTATATCCTAAATGTAAAACTTTTTTCATATGAGGGACAGAGGTCATAACTGTTAAATCAGGGAACCACTGGTACATTGAGATTTTATTCAGTTTACAGAGAATTATTTTATGTATAGCTTTGTTTCTAGAATTAAATCTATTGTGAGAAGGGATTATAACTCAGTTATAATAAATAGATATCTTTACAGCTGTGGCCTATAAATTAACCTAAAGAGTTAATTGGAAAACTTTGAAAATGTGTTTTTTAATAGTATTTGAAAGTAATGTTCAAGGCTTCTGTCACTAGAAAGAATAGGCTTTTCTGGTTGATATATCAATTATTTACTTAATCTATGGCTCTGAACTCTTAGTTCAAACTAACTCAGTTAAAGAAGAGATTCAGGTTGTCAATATTTTTTCCTCACAGTATTCACTTTGGACTTGGAAGTACGAAATGAAAGATACAGTGGGTTGTATGGGTTGTATTATTTATTGTATCAGTAATATTGATTAACTATTTAATCATAAAAAGTTGAGTAGAATTGCTAAATAATATCCTGAACCTGAAAAATCCCAGGTGAATTGAGCCTTGGAACACAATTCAATAGCTCACTTTTCTAATTGGTCAAGCTCCATGTATGCTTTAATATGGAATAATTATGTACAAACTCAAAGATGTTGTTTTATTGCACACACAAGGCATGCCATTTGATATACAGGCACAGTTTTTAGCACTTTAGATACTTTGATACTAAAGTGTGAATTTTACAGTGTGTGTTTTTTTGCAAATTTTTAGTTGTGCTTTGAGTCTGTTTTAAATAAAATTAATTTCTTACTTATAAGCCTGGATCACTAAGTATTAGTTGTACTGAAATGAATAATCTTCTAAATGATATTTATAGTGATATAGGTTTAAGTCTAGCTTAGTAGTTTACATATTGTTAATTTTCTCTGAAAACAATCACACCATTCAGTTGAAATTGAGACATCATAGTAACACTTACAATACAGCATGAAAGATGAGTTTTATACTAGATGAGATTTTGTGGTACAATCCCCTCTTCCTGAAGGTGTCAGGAAATGTTTCAAAGAGGAGATTCTGAAACATGAAGGTGAGATTTCTGTTTTACCATGAAGAGAAATGACAGTTATTCTAAATAGAGGGAACAAAAGGTGCAGATGTTCAGATTGGTGAACAGATGTAAAGCAACGAGGTAGGAGAAAGGTTTACTGTAACTGAAACCGGAAACTTGCAAAGGAACAGGTTGCAGGGGACCTAATTTGCCAAGTTAGAGTTCAGATTTACTTCCCTTGGGCTATAGGGAGCCAAGATCAAAGCCACCGTCATTTTTTAATTTACGCTTTGCACTAGCCCTTGGACTCCCTCCGCTCTCGTCTTCCTTACCGTCAGTTCTCTCAGCTGCATCTAGGGTGATTTTCTAAAATCTACATCGAATTACATCATGCATTCCCCAGAATAAACTCTCCAACAGATGTTCATCAAATTCAGAATATATTAGAATTTTTTTAACATGGACTCATATGACCACATTTGCCTCCTGCCCACCTTCTTGCTCTGCTTCCAACCGCTGACCTTGTCCTTCTTTCCTTCTTTGGATGTGCCAACCTCACCCTCACCCGGGACCATGTCTGGATCTCTTTCCCCAGATCTTTGCCTGGCTAACTCCTGTGTACAGATTTCTACTTAAATTTCACTTCCACAGAGAGGCTCTCCTTAGCTTATTCTCTAAAAAAGTCAGCTTGTCACCATGAATCTCCACAACTGCATCATCTTCATTTGTATATATTACTTATTAATCAAATATCATCTTTCTTCCTCAGTGGAACATAGCCTGTACAACAGCAGGAATTCTACTTTATTTGCTGCTCTAGTCCCAAGTGCCTAGAACAAAGTAGGCCCTCAACATTTATTAAATCACTGTATAAAGGGGCCAGTATAGGTATAGAGGCGATGGTATGAAACAGGCATTAAAAGACTCGGGCTGCTTACCTTTTAATTACCACAAACTAGACCCATCCTAGCCAGTCTTGTTGATAATCTGAACTTTTATCTCCTTTGCTTAAAATGTCAATTCCACTTTATTTTTATGTAGACATCCACAGTTGAAGTATATTTAGCTATTCAGACAGTCCAGCCGCCTTGGAAATGAGGAACTAAGCCCAGAATAGGCCATTGACTTTATCATGGTTCCTTAATAAGCCAAAAACGTGACCAGAATTAGAATATTAGACTCTGCATGTTATAGCTCTTATCCTTTATTTGTGTCGTCTGATACTGGACATTTAAAAAAAATTTTTTTGAACATGTTTTTATTGATTTCAGACAGAGGAAGGGAGAGGGAGAGAGAAACATCAGTGATGAGAGAGGCATTGATTGGCTTTTCCTGCACACCCCCCACTGGGGATCAAGCCGGCAACCGGGGCATGTGCCCTGACCGGGCATCAAACCCAACTTCCTGGTTCATGGGTTGATGCTCAACCACTGAGCCACGCCAGCCAGGCTGGACATTTTTTAATATTTTTCTTAAAAATTCAATACCTTGTTTGGTGTCCGTCTTTTTATCTTGTAATTTCCTCTGCTCTTTCTTAAATTCCCGTTTAAATCCCTCTTAATTAGATTTATTCATTTTTTAATTTATTCCTGTTTGCATTCATTCATCTCATTCATTCATTGCTCTTTTCCAGACACTCTGGAAAACTCTACAAATAGAAGATGAACCAGAGAGGCAGCGATCCTGCCTAGTCCCCTGCCATTGGGCTTGTTTTGTTCTTCTTGCCCATATATTGTATTCATTGGCTAAGGTTCTCATAACAAAGTACCACAGGCTAGTTGGCTTAAACAACGGAAGTTTGTTGTTACAGTTCTAGAGGCTAGATGTCCAAAATGAAGGTGTCAGCTGCGTCGGTTCACTCTGAGGGCCGTCTGGGCCACTCTCCTAGCTTCTGCTGGCCTCTAGTATTTCTTGTATTGTGGTTGATGGTCTCCCTGTGTCTCTTAACATTGTCCTCCCTCTTTGTGTCTCTGTCCGTGTGTTAAATTTCCCCTCTTTAGAAGGACAACAGTCGTATTGATTAGGTCCCATATAAATGACCTTGATTTAACTTGGTTCCCTCTGTAAATACCCTGTGTCTAAACAGTTTCGCGTTCTGAGGTACTAGGGCTTAGGACTACAACACATCTTTTCTTTTGGAGGGGGAGAGGCACCATGCAAGCCGCAACACGTATGAAAGCACTATATTGCATTTTTTGTTTGTTCACAGGCAAATGTGGACTTTTTTTAGTTTGTTTTCGGCCCTCTTTCCCTACATTTTTTTTTTTTTCTTAGTGACTATCTCACAGACTTTTTTGGAGAGCTTGAATTATTACTTTTTCATTATGAGTAAAATCTCCCTGGAGTTTTAAAATATTTGTATTAGTTGTGCAATTTGGAACATCAGAGATTTAAATTTTATTCCATAGGAATTCAACTATGTGGCATAAGATACTTTAATATCATTTTACCATCACAGATTTGGTTACATCTTTGACTTAGAAATTCCAAGGCAGGAGCATATATTGTCTAGTTAGTGTTTCACTGGCATTTGAGTTCATGCTGCCGCTAAGATATCTTATACATTCAGTTGATTACAATTAGCATTAATTAACAAAATCATAAAATAATAGACATAGTGGACATCACTGGAGCAAGGAGCTATCTGAGATCATTTTATTGAGTTATGCAATATTCTCCAATGTCTGTAAGAA